GATGAATTGAGCGATAAGGAGGATGTGTTTATAGTAAGAAGGTTGAATGAAATTGAAGTTGAGGAATCAGATGTAAATAAAATGCTGGAGGGGGCTATTAACAAAGATGTAATTGAAATTAAAGAAATCTTATCTATAAATGATCAAGATTTGATGGATATTGAGTATGAAGGATGAATTGTTTATTGGAATCCAACTAATGAAAGAGATAATGGAATGATTCAGGGGTTAAATGCAATGTATATTATGAGAATGACAGAAGAAAATTAGAACGATATTGATGTAGGGCCCGATGTCTCTAAAAAGCAAAGGAAATATTAAAACACTGTTTAATGGAAGAAGTGCCTAAAGTTTTCGCTTTCACATTGAGTGAAATAGGAAAAACAAATTTAGTAGAGTATGAAGTAAGAACAGAGAATAATAAAGTACCTCCATTATGCTTACATCCTATAAAGTTTAATAACCCTGAAAAGGCCCAGACGTTTGAAGACCATTTGAAGGAAATGGTCAAGTGGGGACTACTGGAAGAAGGAATGGGAGAATATGCATATCATTGCTTCCCTGTTAATAAAAAGAAGGGTGGAACAGGTAATCTGCGTGCTGTGGGAAATATGAAACTCCTTAATAAATTTATAATTAAAGATAGTTACTCTCTTCCCCTAATTCATGATATACTAGAAAAGGTGGTGGGACATGAGTGGTATAGTGCGGTAGATGCTTTTAAAGGGTATTGGCAAATAAAAATTTGAGAGGAAGATCATAATATGGTTGCAGTTTCAACATCTCTGGGAGTATTAAAGTATACGGTGATGTGCATGGGTTTGAAAAATGCGAGTAAAATGTACCAAAGAATGATGGATAAGTTGTTAAGAGGAGATGAATAGAAAGAAGTAACAGCAGCTTACCAGGATGATGTAGAAATTTGGACTAACAGTAGTATCGAAAATTATATCAAAGTCTTCGTAAAACTTGCCAAACGATTCAAAGAAGTAGGTATGACATTTGCCGCAAAAAAATGCCATATAATGTATAAGGAGATTCCAATGTATGGATATTTGGTTAGTAAAAGTGGTATATGTGTGGATCCCAAAAGAATAAATAAAATATTAAAATGGGCAAGACCTACAAATGAGACTGAAATGCAATCTTTCCTAGGAGTCATGAATTACTACTAAAGATTCATAAAAGATTTCAGCCGAATAGCTGCACCATTAACTGAGCTGACAAAAAAAGGAAGTTAATTTTTGGTAGAAAAATGAACAAGAATTTGCCTTTAACAAACTTAAAGATATAATTACCCAAGAAGTGATTTTGAAAGGTCCGAATTGGCAAAAGGTAAAGGAAGGGTTACGACCCTATCAAATGTATACCAACACGAGTAATATTTTTGTTGGAGTAGTTCTTGAACAATTAGATGATGAGGGAAGGATGTGACCTGTTAATTTTGATTCGAGAAAGTTGAACAGTCATGAAGTCAATTATACAGTATCAGAAAAGGAGTGTTTGGCCATATTGTATGGTTGTAAAGTGAATAAGAGATATGTCGGCGGCACGATATTTGATGTTTGGACTGATCATCAAGTGTTGAATGGCTTTTTAATAAAGTAGAGTTGAAGAGACATTTGATGAGATGGGTTCTAGCTCTGCAGGCATTTGAGTTTAGAATACATTATAGACCTGGTTGTAAGCACAGGAATGCTGATGGATTATCGAGACGCTCTGAAGAAATTAAAAGAGAAAAGATTACTGATGAAGAATTTATCAATGAAATGCTAATGCATGTAGATATTTATGACTCTGCTATGAAAGATTTGGGTGAAATCGAATATTATTTAAAAAACTTTCACTGGAGAAGGATGATAAAATACAAAGATTTATCATGATTACAGAGAAAAATAAAAGGGTTCTGCTTGATTGATGGTATGCTGTTTGCAAGAGGGAAAAGAAATTTACCACCGCGACGGGTTATATGTGATGTTAAAGAAAAGAATATGATTCTAGCTGCAAGTCATGAAGGTATTTCTGAGGAAGGAGAATATAGAGGTGTACATAGAACTGTCAGAGCTATACTATGAAAGTATAAGTGGGTATGTGGAAATGTATATAGTGACATAAAAGAATATGTATCCACTTGTTTGATTTGTCAGCGCTGTAGGGAACAAAGTACTAAGGAACCAATTTATGTTGTTGGAATGAGTTAGATTTTTCACAAAGTATATGTAGATTGTATAGGATCCTTACCTAAGTCTGCCACCGGGCATTTGTATATAGTTATTGCTGTAGAAGATCTAACGGGGTATGTGGAAGCCCGACCGCTGCAAAAGAAAAATGCCAAGAGTATTGCTAGATTTGTTTGAAAAGATATAATTACGCGGCATGGGTGTTTCTCGTTACTGGTGTCTGACTGGAGAACAGAATTCAAGAATGGTTTACTTGAAGAACTTACCTCTTGGTTAAATGTAGATCAATGCTTCGTTGCTAGTTACCACCCTGAAGCAAATGAACGAGCGGAAAGAGCAGTGCAAAAAATCTCTCACATGTTGCGAAAAATTTATGCGAAAGGCAAAACAAATGGCATGAGTATGTTAGAGGTGTAGTGTGGGCCTTAAACATTACAGTGATAGATTTGGGTTATTCCTTATTTTACCTGGTTTATAGACGCGACGCGATAACACTGATAAAGTTGACTTTGCAAAGCTACCAAATGTATATGAGGAAGAGAGAGTGGACTATAGAAGAACTCTTGGAATATCGAACGCGTCAGATAAAAAATATGGTGGTGGATTTGGATCGTGCACAAACAAATAGGGACGAATTCCGTCAATGTTGGAAGCATTTTCACGACCAACATGCTAAAGTAAAGAAGAAGGTGAATGAAGGAGACCTCATTCTAGTATACGATTCAACACTTAACACTGCCTTGTCAAGAAAGCTTGACTATAGATGGCTTGGACCTTACATTGTTAGGAAAATTGGTGACAAAGGACAATTTTATATCGACAAAGATGATGGAAGTCCATTTAAGGACCCTATTATGCGTAATCGAATCAAAAAGCTTAAATCAAGAGCTTTAAATAGAAATAACAATTGTGATCGAGATTTAGATGTAGATCCCGAGGATGGTAATCTGAGAAGGTATAGCTTGTGTCACAAACTTTATTTTGATACATGTGACTTGGGAACGGGTAATAAGTAGTCATGGATCCAGTAATAAGGAAGGATCGAAGACAAATATATAAGATAATAAATTAGTAATTTGAAAGCCAAAGTGGCATGATTAATATGCATGATTTTTTTTTTTTTTTGGTGTTAAGGTGGGATCTTGTCCATGACTTTATTTATTAATAATACTTTACATATATCATCACATCTTCCGTATTACATATATACATATATCAAGTACACCAAGCTCAGACCTGGATCCTATTAGTAACCTATGCTTTAGCTGAAACCATCACTTGCACGATAGGTGTCCCCATCCGCTACTGGCTACTGATCCAATTATCTGCGATCCAAACCTACCAGAGTGGCACGTCATCATCGACCTACTCATCCGGTATTTTACCACCCTTCACGAGTCCTATTTTGGTACACTTCCCTATGACGTCATTCCCCGCATCTCTCATACTAATTATACCTAAGCTCCCAAATTTGGTAATCCCTCCTGAGATATGGCCTCGTAGCCTCAAGGACTACTTCTAATCTTGGTTATCTTCAGCTAGCCTGCTCAGGTGAGTCCTACAAGTAGGCTCCATACTGATCCAGGATAAGCCTTGTTATTAATGTCTAGTTTAGTTAGTATACTGCCAATTTCCGTTATCTTATAGGTAGGTACTCCCATGTGTTGGTGCAGGCTGCCGTGTTGCGTTATAGATTACCTATAACTCCCAGTTTGCGGGTTTCGTATCATAATACTGCCAATTTCAGTGTTTGGTGTTCCTTATTAATTTCTGATATACAAGCCTGATTTGTACAATTATACTATCAGTCCGGTGAATCCAGCCATTTTGAGTTATTATCACATACTCTGAGTTTCAGCCTTCTCGCTCTGTCTTCACAGGTTTCTTCCTTAATAGGCCAAGTGGCTTGAGGCCAGAGGTGCTTCCGAACTCTGGATGGACCAATCCTTTACTACAAGTCATCTTCGTATTCACCACTTTTCTTACTACTCCAGTTTTGTTATCGTCATGTTACTCTCCCAATCAAGTATCCCAACTGCTGGGGATGTTGGTGCTGCCCCGGTCACCCCTAATCGAGGACAATGTGCACAACCTTCATGTAACAGAACCTTTCATAACTCATCATACATAGTGCCACCGCTCCACGATTGGACCTCCTTCTAGGAATTTCCTTTTCTAGTTTCATACTTGCACTTGGACTTAACCACAGGGCTTCGCATTCGATTATGGCCCCCTATTGGATTACAGAAGCTAAAATCCTAAGATTTTGCCTCCAGCCTGACTCGAACTGTCGACCTAGTCTGTGGGAGTTTAGCAGCTTAACTGCTAAGCTATAGGGTCCAAACCCTAATGGTTCTATTTTAATTATTACAATTACTATATTTAAATAATAATTGTAGGAGGTATAGATTTGTATAATTTAGAGCATAAAAGTAGAATTTTAAAACTTTTATCAATAAAAACTTCAAAGAGCAAAGGTAATAATAATAAGAATGATAATATAAAAATATGATTTAATAATAATAATAATAATAATAATAATAATAATTTTAATAGAATAGAAAATGCCTTAGAATTATCACATTCTTAGACGGCAATAAAGAAACAGTAGCCAAAATACCTTGTATGAAGCAATTACTTTGCTTCAAAATAAGAATCAAAAGTAATTTAAAATAATACTATAATAAAATAATAATAAAATAATAATAATAAGATAATAATAATAATAGTTTTAATATAATAATTAATTAGACTGGCCAGGAAAATTAGAATGTTGTAAGCACAAGTAGTAGTATTACAAAGTGAAGTGGTGGAGTCAAAAGGAGAAGTGAATAATTTAGAAAGGTGTAGAAGATTTAGAAGAACAAGTAAGAGATTTGGAAGAAGAAGTAGAGAATGCTATGTTTTATATTAGAGTGGTTTAAGTAGGGAACTGGAAAAGGAACATTCAATATGCAAATTTGGTGACAGAGCAGAGTGTTTTAAGGGCTGAAATAG